ATCACTCCATCTACTCCTCCGGTACATCCCTCCCCCCTCCTCCTTCCATGGGAGATACACGGAGGAGAAGAATGATGGTGAGGAAGGGTGGTAGGAGGAGGGATATAAGTATTTGGAGCAGGATGGCGGCAAGGAGGTGGAGGAACACGTACCCCTCAACAGCATTGTCCGTCTTTTCTTCTTCCTCTTCCTCCCGCCCCCCATTATCCTCATCCGTCTCTTCCGTACCCTCCTCATCGTACCCATGTTCACGCTCTCTCTCCTCATCGCATTCCTCCTCCTCCTCCTTTTGCTCCTCCTCCTCAGTCCCCTTCCTCATGCCATAAGCGCGACTGGAAAGCTGGAGGAGGATGCGAACGAGGGAAATCAGAGGAGAAGAAGGGGTAGGAGGAAGAGCATGAGGATGTCGATTCTTAGCTCCTCTTTCTCTCCATCCTCTTTCTGATCATCTCACGCCTCGTTCGCGTCCTCCTCCTCCCTACATGGCCCGTCCTCCTCCTTTTTAGTCTCCTCCTTTGCCCCTATGGAAGGAGGAGGGGGAAGTGATATGAGCAGGGGATATTATATGAGGCAGAGCAGGCAGAGCAGGTGTAGCGTAGGAGGAGGAGTATGGTGATGAGAAGGAATTAACGGGAATGCGGAGGAGGAGGAGGAGAAACGACAATGGGAGCAGCAGGAGACGTAGGATGAAGAGGAGGAGGAGGAGGAGGAGAAGGAGGAGGAGGAGAATGGGGAGGAGGAGACTTGATCGGGATGCGGGGGGGCATGCTACTGATGTTGACGAGTATCTCTTCCTCCTTCCCCTCCTCTTCGTTATCATCCTGAACCAATCGCACCCCCCATCATCAGATCATTCGTCCACAGATTCCTTATTGAATCGCTTCGCTCATTGCGCCGGCCCGTGGGGGCCTCTTCGGGGCCTCTTAGGGCCTCCAAGAGGCCTCTTGGGGGCCTCTTCGAGCCTCTTGGGGGCCTCTTGGGGGCTTCCTGAGGGCTCCTGGGGGCCTCTTGGGACCTCTTAGGGGCCCCTTGGGGCTTCCTGGAGGCCTCTCAGGACCGAGGGCTCGAAATGTTGTTCCGTGCTCCCCCTCTGGGGCCGCTCTTGGGGCGCTCTAGGGGCCCTCTTGGGCCGTCTTGGAGGCCTCTTGGGCCGTCTTGGGACCCTCTTGGGCCGTCTTGGGGCCCTCTTGGGGGCCTCTTGAGCCCTCTTTGGGCCATGTTGGGGGCCTCTTGGACTGTCTTGGGGCGTCGGGAAGCCGAAAAGGTGGAAGCACCAACATCTGTCCAACAACTAAGGGAAAGCAATGATTTTTGCATATAGGGGCCCTCTGGAGAGTGCTCTTGGAGGCCTCTTGGGGCGTCTGGGGGCCATCTTGAGCGTCTTGGGGCGATCTTGTGGCATCTCGGACCCTTGGTGGGGGCCTCTTGGGCGCTCTTGGCTCTTCTTGGGACTCTCTCTTGGCCCTTCTTGGGACTCACGGGGACGTCTCGGGGCCCTGCTGGTGCGCTCCAGGAGCGCTCTGGGGGCTTCTCCAGGGACCTTACCGGGGTTCTTTTCGTCCGGGGACCCCCGAGGGGCCGCCCCGCGCGCGCGAACTAGAAGTACTCTGAACCAGGTACCGGAGATCTTAGCACGCCTCTGGCCCGTTGGGCCGGCGAATTTTCCCTTTTCGAATACCTCCCATACTCGGAGGGGAGGGGGAGTGAGATGATGAGGGGGGCTGGAGCAAGATGAGGAAGAGGGGATGAACGGGAGAAGAAGGGGTAGGAAGAGGAGCAGACCAAATGTCAGTGCTTGGCTCCCCTTCGTCTCCATCCTCTTCCTGATCATCTCACACCTCTTCCTCGTTCCCTTTGCTATATGACTCGTCCTCCACCTTTTCAGCCTCCTCCCATCGACCCAATGGAAGGAGGAGGGGCAGGTGCTACGAGTAGGGAACGTTTTATGAGGCAAATGAGGGCGGGCAGAGGAGGCGGAGCAGGTGTAGTTTAGGAGGAGGAGGAGGAGCATGATGATGAAAAGGAGGAGAATGAAGATGAGGAGTATGGTGATGAGACGGAGGAGGAGGAGGAGGAGGAGGAGGAGGAGGAGGAGGAGTGACGGAGGAGCAGCAGGAGACGTAGGATGAACAGGAGGAGGAGGAGGAGGAGGAGGAGAAAGGGGAGGCTGATGCCGATGATGTGGCAGACAATTGATAGGAGGAGGAGGAGGAGGAAAAGGAAGGAAGCGGATGGGGATGAGGAGAACCAGCGATATTAATGATGAGGGGTCTATCTCCCTCCCCACTCTCTATCGTCATCATCCTGAACCACTCACTCCCCTTCATTTTCATAGCGAATATTTGCGGGCTCGAAGTGGCGATGCCCACTGCGAGATGTGAGGTCGTCTGAGGAAAACCGAATTGATCATGGTTTCGAAGTTGTCATGCTGTAAGGTGCCCCCTTTCACCCCCGAAAGGGAGGAGGGTGGGCGGAAACAAGTGGGGGTGCGGGGGGATGGGCACGGGGGAGGAGGATTGAATAGGAGGCGGCCAACTGTAGTGGAGGAGAGGGGGGGAGGATGGGCGATGAGGAGGAGGAGGAGGAGGAGGAGGAGGAGGAGGAGGAGGAGGAGGAGGAGGAGGAGGAGGAGGAGGAGGAGGAGGAGGAGGAGGAGGAGGAGGGGGGGGAGAAAGCGATGCAGGACGAGGACGGGGCGGGAGGAGGACGACGAGGACGGGGAGGACGGAGGGAGGAGGAGGACAAGAGCAAATCCAGGGTGCTTCAACTGCGATTTCGCCCTCCCGTGCCAAGGCCCCTTCTCCAGAAGTTGTCTCACAGGTTTGTTCTTCTTTCCACTGCGGAAGGCGGTCCCTTTTAATAATGACGAGCGCCTGGGTTGGGCTCGACCTGCGATTCTATGCGAGGCCCGTCTGGTAACGGGTAACAAATATCCACATCCATCGTTCTAGCTAAAGGTCACCAGCTAACGTAGGTCTTGGTAATGAGTGAACGCGCGTTCTTGAAAACAAAACTGGCAACCAAAGATGAGTTGATACAGCGAGACACGGATTTCGCATTTTGCGCCGCCTAATCAACACAGACAACACATCATGTAGTAAACGCAAAATCCGAATCACGAAACTCAAACACGGATTTCCTAAATCCGGGACCGTTTGTCTAAATCCCAGATCATATCATTACCTTGACTTGAGTGGCTCGATAAACAAGAAGCTTGCAGAGGTAAGATGATCAATTCCATGGAAGTGTCGAGCGATAGTCTTGTTTTGAAGAGTATTTGCGCCTTATCGGTGTACGTGCTGCACAGTTTCGATGTTTTTTTCGTGGCGTTCGTGAGGGTGTCAGGCGATAGCGCTGTTTTGAAAAAGAGCCGCCCCCCGTCCAGCTAGATGCTGCACAGTTTGGAGGATCGGGTCGTAAAACGTGACGGCGAGAACCGCATGTTGAAAACGAGACGGTCTCCATTGATGCATGTTGTTCACGACGTGCCCTCCGTCCGTTGCCTTTGTGGGAAGTCTTGCAAAACGGTTATGCGTGGTTTGGAAAAGAGCGCCATGTTTTGAAAACGACGGCCCCTCCATCCGCGTAGCTGTTGGAGTGCTTAGCGTCATGATGAAAAAGGGTAAGGACGTCTCAAGAGTAATGCCTGGCCTGGTCCGCGGACACTTCTGGCGGTGTGACAAGTGGGGAGGGATTTTTTTGTGTAAGGAAGTGGAGTGGTGGAGGATGAGGAAGCAGAAGAGAGAGCAGGAGGAATCGAAGGCGGGGGAGGAGGAGTCGAAGGAGGAGGAGAAACTTCTGAGCGTCGCAGGACCCGTGTGAGCCTTCTGATAAGCCTGAACGGGGTGCTGGAGAGGCTAGAAGTTTGTGTCCCTTTCGGGGTGGACGAGGAGGATGTCTCTTCAATCCTCCTGGGCGTCGCAAGTGGAGGGAGGAGATGGTGGATGCAGGTGAGATGGAGGAGGGAATGGGAAGCTGTATAAGTGCAAACACCTATTGTTGAGGCCCCCTTGGGTGCCTCTGGGGGTTTCTTGGGTGTCTCGTGGGCCACGTTGGGGTGGAGAGCTCCACATGGTGGTTTGAGCCCTCCCACGTGGGCTTCTCTGGGGATCTCCTGCGATCATCCTTGGTGCTCGCTGGGTGCCTCTGAGGCCCTCTCGGGCGAGTCTTGGGGATCGGTGGGACCTTCTCTTGGACGCTCTGAGGACGAAAAACTCCGAGCACGCGAAAGTCGTAAACAAAGAGCTCCAGGCGATCGTTTTCTTATTGTGAAGGCCCGACGGCCGGTGCCACCGACCCTGAATGATATCGACGACGACCAGACGCCGAGCACACGAAAGTCGTAAACAAAGAGCTCGAGGTGATCGCTTTCTTATTGTGAAGGCGTGCCGCCGACCCTGAACGACATCGACCACGACCAGACGCCGAGCACACGAAAATCTGAAACAAAGAGCACCAGACGATCGCTTTCTTATTCGTTGCTTTGCCGATCGGCGCGGGCCCTCGCACCCCTCCCCCCCCCCACGTGGAGTGGATCTTGGCTGTTTCGGCGCCCGTGCTTCGAGCAGGTGGAGCCCCCTCACAGGACGCACTGCCTCAAATAGTCGCACTGAGCAGAGGTCAGGCGCCAGACCCCCCCCCCCTCTGCCCCCTTTGCCGCCCGATGCCGACACGCCGAACAGGAAACCGCCCACCGGGTGTTCCACTGACATGGGCCCCGGCTGGCCCCCAGGGCCCGAGTGTGATGCTGGAGCGGCGGAAGGTCGGTGTCCTCGAGGTGGACGGGGAGGATGGCCGGGCGTGTCGTGTCTCTTCGATCGTCCTGGGCGTTGGACGCGGAGGGGGAGGCTGTGGAGGAGCGGGAAAGAGCTGGGAGGGAGAGGGAGAATGCTTCAGTGCAAGCCCCTGGTGTTGCCCGACCCGCTCGACCTGCCCCCGTTGTACGCAGACAGTGCGGCGCCCGAGCCGGTGCTGGCTGGCACTGGGGGGACGGCCGCGAGGCCCTCATGAGCGAGCTCGATCGGTTCGCCTCGTTCTACGAGGGCAGCCCGTACGGCCCTTTCGACGTCTGCTACGGGAAGGAAGCCGCCCTTTCCCGGCTCTGATCTCCGGCGTCGGGCTGTCTCCCCCCGCTCTCCTGCGCCTCGGCGGCGAGCGAGGGGGGGAGATGAGAAGGAGAAGGCCTGCTCGGTGGGCCCAGAAGTCTCCCGCGGCCTTCTGAGAAGTGTTCTCAGCCTGGCCCGAGGACACAGAGAACCTCTCGGAAGGCGCTTGGGCTTCTGAGAAGGCCCGCCGCCTTCTCGGAAGGCCTTCTCCTCGTCACTTCCTCCCCTCGCTCGCCTCCGACCTCAGATCTCCGACGTCGGGCTTCCTCCCCCCGCTCTCCAGTGCCAGGTCCCCGTCCGGTGAGTGCGGAGCGCGCTGCTGCGCCTCTCCCGCCCTCTCCCCGCCTCCTTCCGCCTCCGTGCCTCCTCCTGCCTCCCGCTTCGCCTCCCGCCGCCTGCCTCCTGCCCCGCCTCTCCCGCCTCCTGCCTCCTGCCTCGGCTCCTGCCGCCCGCGTCGCCTCCCGCCCCCTGCCGCCTGCTTCGCCTCCACCTCCGCCTCCCGCCTCCCACGTCGGCACCCCGGACTCGTGGCCTCTCCGGAGACGGTGCCGCCTGCGCTGCGGCCGGCCCTGTCGACGCCCTGCCGCCGGGAGGAGGCCGCCTTTTCCCTTCTCTCGGAGACTACCGTAAGACTCGAGTAAGCCGGACCTCGGGTCTGCCGACGTCTTTTGACGAGCGCGTCCGGGAGTTTGACGGTCCAGTGCTCGTGGGATGTTTGCAGCGGGAGTTCGCGTCACATCTCAGATTGGGCCTCGTCCTTTCCATGATGGCCCCGTCAGGCCAACCCGAGTCTTACCCGAGTCTTGCGTCTCCCCGATTCTCGGATGTGTGTTAGCGCCCAGTGTGTGTCTACACCGTCCAGCTCCACCGATACAAGCATGTGGCCCGCGTCGGCCCTCGTGGCACCGCCTGGCGCCGCGTGGACGAGCCGCGGCCAGACCACGCACAATTTTTGGCGCGATTGGAGGACGCGTAGTGGTTGGGGCGATGAAGGGGCCGGCCACGCGCAGAGGGGGGGTAGGGGGAGGGGGGAAGGCTTCTTGGAAACACCCCTGCTTCTTTTAGAAGGCGCGGGCCTCGTCTGCACACGTGAGGCAGGCGCCTTCTCAGAAGCAGCCCCCTTCCGGAGAAGCCTTCCCCCCTCTGCGCGATGCAACACGGGGGTGCAGCGAGGGCCGCAGAGCAATGGCCTACCCGAGCCCTACCCGAGTCTTCCCCGAGCTTTACCCGAGTCCTACGTCTGCCCGATCCTTACGGCTGTCCGACGCCGTGCCTTTCGCTGTGGCCCGGTGCTGTCTCCGAGTCTCGGCGCTCTCGCCTCCCCGATGCCGGCCTCCAGGGGCCCGCCGTGGGCCTCCCCCCCCCCCCCCCTGAGGGCCACCACGGCACGCCGCGAGCCCAGGGACGGAGGAACACGAGCAGGAGGAGAAAGAGGAGGAGGAGGACAAGAGATGAGAAACGGGAGAAGGAGGAGGAGTGGGAGGAGGAAAGGGAGGAGAAACAGGAGAAACAGGAGGAGGAGGAAGGGGAAGAGAAACAGGAGAAACATGAGGAGGAGGAGGAGGAGGAGGAGGAGGAGGAGGAGGAGGAGGAGGAGGAGGATGAGGAAAGGGAGGAGAAACAGGAGAACAGGAGAAACAGGAGAAGGAGGAGGCGGAGGAGGAGGGGCAGGAGGGGGTGGAGGAGCGGGGGGACGAAAGGGAGGAGAAACAGGGAAAACAGGAGGGGGAGAGGAAAGGAAGGAAAACAGGAGGAGGAGGAGGAAAGGGAGGAGAAACAGGAGTCACAGGAGGAGGAGGAGGGAGGAGGGAGGAGGAGGAGGAGGAGGAGGAAAGTGAGGAGAAACAGGAGAAACAGGAGGAGGAGGAGGAGGAAAGGGAGGAGAAACAGGAGAAACAGGAGGAGGAGAAGGAAGAGGAGGAGGAGGAGTACGAACGGAAGGATAAACAGGAGAAACAGGAGGAGAGGACCACCAGAGGAAACAGGAGGAAGGAGGAGAAACAGGAAAAACAGGAGGAGGAGCAGGAGGAGGCGGAGGAGGAGTCAAGGGAGGAAGACCAGGAGAAGGAGGAGGAGGAGGAGGAGGAGGAAAGGCAGGATAATCAGGAGAAACAGGAGAAGGAGGAAAGGGAAGAGAACCAGGAGAAACATGAATAGGAGGAGGAAAGGGAGGAGAAACAGGAGGAGGGGGAGGTGGAGAGGGGGGAGAAACAGGAGAAGCAGGAGGAGGAGGACAGGGAGGAGAACAGGAGAAACAGGATAACCAGGGGAAGGAGGAGGAGGAGGAGGAGGAGGAGGAGGGGGAGGAGGAGGAGGAGGAGGGGCAGGAGGAGGAGGAGGAGGAGGAGAAGGAGGAAAGGGAGGAGACACAGGAGAAGCAGGAGGAGGAAGAGCAGGAGGAGAAGGAGGAGGAGGAGGACAAGGGATGAGAATCAGGAGAAAGATGAGAAAGAGGAGGAGGAGGACAGGGATGATAAGCAGGAGAAGGAGGAGGAGGAGGAGGAGGAGGAGGAGGAGGGGGAGGTGGAAAGGGAGGAAAAACAGGAAAAGCAGGAGGAGGAGGAGGGAAGGGAGGAGAAACAGGAGAAACAGGAGGAGGAAGAGGAGGAAAGGGGGGAGAAACAGGATAAACAGGAGAAGGAGGAGGAGGAGGAGGAAAGGGAGGAGGAGGAGGAAGAGGAGAAGGAGGAGGAACGGGAGGAGAAAACAATGAATCAGGAACAGGAGGAGCAGGAGGAACGGAAAGGAAGGATCATCAGGAAACACAGGAGGCGGATGAGAAGGACAAGGAAGAATACTCAGGACAAACAGGAGGAGGAGGAGGAAAGGAAGTATAAACAGGAGAAACAGGAGGATGAGGAGGAAATGGAGATAACACTGAGGAACAGGAAGATGATAATGATGCTGATGATGAGGAGGAGGAGGAGGAGGAAAGGAAGGAGAAACAGGAGAAACAGGAGGAGGAGGAGGAGGAGGTGGAGGAAAGGACGGACAAACAGGGTAAAGGGTAAACAGGACAGGGAGGCGGAGGAGGACAGGGAGGAGGAGCAGGATTTACAGGAGGAGGCAAAGGAGGAGGAGGAAAAGGAGGAGGAGGAGGAGGAGGAGGAGGATGAAGGGGAGGATAATCAGGAACAACAGGAGGGGGATGAGGACGAAAGGGAAGAGAAACTGGAGAAACAGGAGGAGGAGGAGGAAAGGGAGGAGAAACAGGAGGAGGAGGACGGAAGGGGGGCAAAACAGTTGTCGTCCAACATCCGCCTGTAGGGGGACATGCCCGACCTAATGTTACGGCCTGGAGCCGCACCAGCCCGAACACCAGGGTGTTGCATGAGGCCAAGCGGAACGTCGCCACACGCAACGCGGTCTACGTGGAGAAGCGTCGCCTGCGGTTACAGCCACGACCAGTCGCGCCAGCGGGCACGCTCGGGTTGGGATGGCCTTTCAGCACCCGGCGGCGAGGACGCGAAACGCTGGAGGTATCCGCCTCTTGGCGTCTTCGAGTCGGGTGTCGGCGGCGAGCGAGGGGGGAAGTGAGCAGGAGAAGGCCTTCGCAGCAGGTGGCGGGACTTCCCCGAAGCCCTCGCGCCTTCTGAGAGGCTTTCTGCGTCTTCGGGCCAGGTTGAGGAAACTTTTCAGAAGGCCTGGGGACTTCTGGGGATTTCTAAGAAGGCCTTCTCCTTTCGGGGGTGAACAGAGGCCCCACCCTGACACGTCGATTCGTGGATTGTCCGTTTTCGGTTCTCGCGAGGGCGCCGCGGCCGTCCTTTTCCAGGCTTTGCCCCCGCCAGGTTTGGGCCCGAGGTCGTTTTCACGAGACCACGTTTTGCTAAAAGTTGTCCTGTCCATCCCCGATCCTTCTCACTTCCCCCCCAGACTCGCCGCTGATCATGGCGTCTTTGAAGCGGGTGGCCGCTCCGACGTTGCTGTGCCGCGCGCGTGCGCTCCTCGGCGCACGGCTCGGAGAGGGGGGCAGCGCGCGCCGGGATGCCGCGCACCACCTGCTGGCAGGAGCTCGGCTGCTTGCTCCCGGCGTGAAGTTTGTGGACGGCGATCAACGGAGAGGAAGCATGTTGCCAAATGATTTCCAGATGCCTAGCACACAGTTTATAAGCATGCCTCAAGCATGTAAGAAAGCATGCCTCCATCATCTTTATTTAGAACACCTCCAAACATGCTATAAGCCACATGTTCATTTCAACGATCGGATTGTTGGGGTGTCCGTTGCCATGGCGTCCGCAGCGTGAAGTGCTGCGGGCGGTGCCCGCCGCCCTCGGAGCGTGAGCCCGTGCACCCAGGCTGCTGCCGCAGGGCCGCAAAGTCGGCGGCGAGCCCCAGGGGATTCATATGAGGAAAAGGTACTCGGAGTTTCTTAATCTGCGTGGGGGGTACCCCCCCGACGGAGGTCAACCTCGCCTCGTCGTCGCGCCGCGACGGGGGGCGGAGCGCCTTCGTCGCGCAGTGGCTGCCCGCGACGGGGGTCGATGTGGGGCTGTCGGCGGGGGTGACGCCCCCCCCCCCGACGCTGATTGAGAAATTCAGAGTACCCATACCTCTAATTACCCTTCCCTTGGTTTTCCCGTTTTGGGCCTCCCCAGAGGCCTTCGTCGCCACCGCTGGATTCGGCTCGAGATTTTGGTCAGAACGAACCCTGGGAGAGGTCTGGGGAGTAGCGATATCGGTGCCTTTTGGTTTCCCCACGGGTGGCAGTGAGAAGGGGCGGGCCTTTTAAGAAGGCTCGGAAGTCGCCCCGCCTTCTGAGAAGTCTCCGCAGCCCCCCCGAAGACACACAATCACTTTTAATAGTGCGCGAGAACCTTGAGCAAGGCAAGCCCAGCGCAGGAGCTAGCACAGGCACCGCGCGCAGCTTGCACCAGTGCCATCGGCTGTGCCACGGCGGCCGCGACGACTGCGGCCAGCACCTGCAGCGCGACGGGCACTCCGACGGTCCGAGTAGGGGATCGGCTGCAGAATTGATTTGCCCCAACATTAACTTCCCATCGAAGCTGCGACGAACGCGCACCGTTTTCGCAAATCTACGGGGAACTCGAAGTGCTTTCCCATATGTTCGACGAGAAAGTCGATTCTGGGGCAAGTCAGTCCTGCAGCCGATCCCCTACTCGAGCGGTCACCGCCAGCACCTGTCGCAGCAGCGCTGGCGACCGACAGCGAGCACTACAACGACCACCAGGAGGGGACAAACACACAGACAAAATGTATCGTCGATTCCCCAGACAGATGGGGCAACATGGGAAGTGGGGGGGAAGACATAATCCCAGAAGGTATGGGAAAATATAGGGAATCCTGTTATGTGTGTGTGTATTTCTTTGTGTGCCCCAGGTTTCGTTCACTTGCTCTCCCCCCGCGCCGCGCCCCCCGCCCACATGCCGCCTTCACGCCCACGGGCCGGGCCCGCTCCTCGTCACGGAAGACGGGGGGCCAGACCGAGATGCTTGGCGTGCTTCCCCAGCGAAAAAAGAGTCGGAGGAGGAGGAGGAAAAGGAAGAATAATGACAGGACTAGTTATATGAATACGGTCATTTTCAATCATACTAAGAATAATAATAATAAGAACATAATGAGCATGACGATTAGAAGAAGAAGAAGAGGAAACAGAAGAAGAATAATAATAATAAGAAGAAGAGGAAGCGGAGGAGCAGGAGGGACAAACACAAGCACGTGGAGGGGGGAGGGAGGGATGGAAGGCGGAGGATGGACGATAGAGGATAGTGGAAGGCGGAACAGCATTGGGTCGGCGCTATTCGTACGCCATCGTCTTGGAGAGTCGTTGTTTGCTCCTGCTCCGCATGCATGACGTGGCGTTCGCTCCATCTGTACTTGGCGAGCAGAATCCAGTGAATCGAGTAACGGAAGACGATGCTGATCAAGATTATGATGAGGAGGAGGAGGACGAAGAGAAGGAGGAAAAGGAGGAGAGAGGAGGGAGGAGGGGGAGGAGGTAGGAGGGGGAAAGAGGTGGTAGGGGGAGGTAGGGAGACATCTGAGGAGGTAGGAGGAGGAGGAAGAGGAGGAGGAGGAGGAGGACGAGGCTAGGCTAGGATAGGATAGGACGGCATCTGGGGGATAAGTCCAAGGTAGAAGGGCGACACGCCCGCTGAAAGAAACGAAGCCTTCGGCGTGCACCATCTGAGGGGATGCTTTGCTCAGGTTACGGGGAGGGAGGGTGACGAGTTAACGGTGGCGTGGACGAGGGGGAGTCGTTGACGAGCCGAGGAGGCGGAGGCGGAATTGGACGAGGAGGACGTCTCGACGAGGCGTCGCAGAGGGAGGGGAGGATGACGAGGCGGGGTCAAGGAGAGGGCGGGAGGGCTGGCGCGGCCCCGCCCGCGGGAGGGTATCGCCCAGAGCTTCACCTGCAAGAAGAGCGTGCGCCCGCGGGGGGAGGCAGTCGGTGCCGCGGTCGGGGCCGGGCGGCGAGAACGGGGAGGAGTTTTCGTTTCAAGCAGTGGCGAAGCGTCCTGGCTCGCCTACAGGCCTACCAGAGAATGTTCCAAGAATCTGTGTGTGGTTTCCACGAGACGTTCTTACAAACATTTCTGGCTGGGACTGTCTTGTTTTAATACATCGGGTTAATGTTCTAAGAACATTGTTCCTGTTCTTAGAACATTGTTGGGGGTTCGAAGAGCATCTCGTGGTAGGCCTACAGGAATGCCGGGACGGTCGGTCCCTGCTCAATCCTTCGGCGACCGCAGTGGTCGAAAAAGAACGCGTGGCACAAACCTCAGCTTTTGACGGGCCGCGCAGATCTCCTGGATCGGCGCTGGACCCCTTGGCGGCGCCTCTGGCGCCGCCCCTGGCACACTCCGCGCGCCAGCGAAGGGAGTCCAGCGCCGATCTCATGAACTCCGCGCCCTCCAAAGGGTCTATGTTTATGCCGTTTTTTGCTCCTCTGCTAGAGGCGGAGGAGGAAGGGGGATGAGGATGATGAGCATGATGAGGATGAGGAGGAGGGCACGGAGTGAGGGAGGTAGGGAGGGAGGGCCAGCCGTCGGCCGATTAGTGCAGCCGCGGACGGGAGGCACCGAGGTCGCCTCATTTGGGCAGAAGTCAGGCGAGGTCGGAACAAGTCGTGCAAACGGGAAGCGCTGCAAAATGAAAACCGAGCAGCAGAGGCAACCGCCAACTCAGCAGGGGCTTGGCGGTCTTGGAATGCTCCCCGGAGGGGATGGCGGATCTGTTATAGGGTTGGCTGGCTCGGACGGGTCCTTGGCAAGTCTCATTGTGCAGTGCAGCTTACAGTCCACACGACATCTAATTCCGCACAGAGAGTAGAGCATGGCGCTCGCGGCAGAGATTACCTTGTGACCACTGACCTGGTCGATGGCTTCTCTTGGTTTTGGGACTCGGGGCCCCTGGAACACAGAAGCTGCGACTGGTGTTGTCTTGGTCCTGCCTCAGTCGCCCGCAGCATGATTCTCTTGCACGCCTGCGCTCTCGCGCCCCCGTCTCCCTCTCCCCCTAGAGGCACAGGTAGTTTAGCCGGAGGTGCCACATAAGTCCATCGGAGGAGCAAGACGTCGCGATAGCCACACGGTCCAAGTTTTCCAGGATGTCCCGGATTTTTCCCAATGTTCCATACAGGCTGCAGACGCCAGGGCCGCCAGATACTCCAGAGTTCCTGAAACACATCCTGAGCCAGTCGCCGCATGTGATTCGTTTTCTTACTCATTGTTTCGCCCATCGGCGCGGGCCCTCGCAGCCCCCTTCCCCCCCTCCCCCTTGCGTAGATCTTGACTGTTCCTGGCGCCTCTTTCAAGCAGGTGGAGTCTCCCCCTCAGGACGCACTGCCGCAAATAGTCGCACTAACTGAGCAGAAGTCTGGTGCCAGACCCCCCCCTTCCGACCAATGTCGAAACGCCGAATAAGAAAACGCTCAGCACGACATCCTGCTCGTCCCATATGGGAACGAAGAGTGACATGAGCATAAAAACTCTGAGGTCAGCGCGGATTTCTCGGATATCCGCGCTGGGACCCCCCTCCCTGGCGCGCGGAGCGCGCCCGGCGCCGTCAAGGGGGGTCCAGCGCCGATCCGAGAGGCGCGGACCTCCGAGTTTTTGCTGGCCATCGCTCGGACGTCCATTCCCTGTGCTTTTGTCGGTTTCGGGCGTGTTTTTTTTACGCCAGGTGATCAGGGGTGCTCCTCGAGGGTCCTCGCCGAAGGACCACTGCTCACGTCCGAGCGAGGCCGAGTTTATGTCTGTGCCGCGGTTTGCTTCCCCGTCCCAGCCCCGGCCGCCGTCGGAGCCTCGGCCCGGGCGCTGCTTGAGGTGCCCCCCTCCTGGCGCAGGGTGCCCCCAGCCCTGGCCTCGCTCGGACGTGTGCATGCTTCCTTCGGCGAGGCCCCTTGAGGAGCACTCCTGATTACTCGGCGAGAAAACCGCGCACGAAACCGACAAAGGCACAGGGAATGGACGTCCGAGCGATGTCCAGCAGCCGTTCGCTCCGTTTGGAGGCCCCTGGGGCCCTGAGGGCCTCGTTAGGGGTGCTCTGGAGGCCGCCTGGGCCACCCAGAGAATCCTGGGGGCACCGTGGGCCCGGGGCCCCTCCGGCAGCACCCGACCGGTGGCTCACGTCGAGGCTGCGGCGATGGCGGGGTTTGCTCCCTTGCCGTTCGGGAGCGCGCACGGAAGAGGGGGACGGGGGCGGGGGCGGGCGGCCTTCCGAGAAGGCATACAGCGGGGGCCCATGCCACTACACACCCCGCTTGCCTCCAGGGTGCCCTGGGTGTGTTTGGTTTCGATGGTTCTGCTATGGAGAGCGTGCCGTTCCCGCACCACCAGTCAATGGATGTCCTGGGGTGTCAGGGTTGGGTTTCTTGTGGAGGGTTTCTTGTGGTCGGGTCCCCACTGTACGGTCAAGAATAATACAAAATAGCTTGGGGACGTTGTTTGACTATTGTTGATTCTTGTATGGCATGGTTTTCACTTTTTGCTTTTTGTCTTGAATGTTTAAAGATTCTTGCAAAAATCCGCCTTTAGGAGGACATGCCCGAACTAAGCATACGGCGGCTTCTCTCGAAGAGCAGCAGATTCCAGCGCTCCGCGCGGGTTTCTTGGATCTGTGCTGAGCCCCACTTGGCGGCGCCTCCAGCGCCGCCCAACAATCCGCGCGGAGAGCCAACAGTTGTTGTGTTTATGCAGTTGTGTTGTCCCTCTAGTCTTGGGAGGGCCTTTACCCTTGATCAGGGTGCACCCTCGTCCATGAGCGCCGGGTAATCGATGGGATTTCGCCGACTTAGCGTCGATGGGTGTTGAGTAGCGTCGATTTAGCGTCGACTGGCGTCGGTGATCGTCGATCCGCAAGAGCCAACAAGACGGTATGGAAGGCTCGCATGGGTTGCCACCTGCTACCGAGGGGGGGCTTCTTCGGAGGGCCTCTGCCCCTTTTTGTTCGGGCTCTTGTCGGCGACGAGCGAGTGGGGGAAGGGAGAAGGGGCGGGCCTTATCAGAAGGCTCGGAAGTTCCTCGGCCTTCTGAGAATTCCCCGAAGACGCAGAACATCGATCAGAAGGCGTGAGGACTTCTGAGACGCCTCGACGCCTTCTGAGAAGGCTTTCTCCTTCTCACTTTTCCCCCTCGCCCGCCGCCGATTGAAGGTTGGCACCACCACCGGTATCGGCGGTGTGCCTCCACTGCGGGAAGACGGTCCCGAGCTCGGTGGTGGTGGTGGTAATTTTCGGTCACCCTCCCCTGGTGGACTCACTCCCCTGTTTTGGTGTTGCTGCCCGTTTCTCGGCGGCGAGCGAGGGGGGGCAGTGCGAAGGGCAAGGCCTCCTCGGCAGGCGGCGGGACATCTCGTAAGCCCTCGCGCCTTCGGGGGGCTCCTCGGCGTCCTCGGGGAAGGCCCCCGGCACTCCCCAGAGAAGGCCGGGGGTACTCCCGACGAGCCCTCCGAGAAGAGGCCCGCCCCTCTCTCGCTCCGCCCCGGGCTCGCCGCCGGCTCACACCAACCAGCAGACCACCCACAACCCGACCCGAAGGCTCGGATCTGCCCTCGATTTCCAGTGGGGGGGGGTCGGGAAGCATCGAACAACACACATGTGGGACCCTTCCCCTTACCCCCCCAAACCACCCACAACCCGACCCGAAGGCTCAGATCTGCCCTCGATTTCCAGTGGGGGGGGGGTCGGGAAGCATCGAACAACACACATGTGGGACCCTTCCCCTTACCCCCCCAAACCACCCACAACCCGACCCGAAGGCTCAGATCTGCCCTCGATTTCCAGTGGGGGGGGGTCGGGAAGCATCGAACAACACACACATGTGGGACCCTTCCCCTTACCCCCCCAAACCACCCACAACCCGACCCGAAGGCTCAGATCTGCCCTCGATTTCCAGTGGGGGGGGGTCGGGAAGCATCGAACAACACACATGTGGGACCCTTCCCCTTACCCCCCCAAACCACCCACAACCCGACCCGAAGGCTCAGATCTGCCCTCGATTTCCAGTGGGGGGGGGATCGGGAAGCATCGAACATGTGGGACCCTTCCCCTTACCCCCCCAAACCACCCACAACCCGACCCGAAGGATCGGATTTGCCCTCGATTTCCAGTGGGGGGGGGGTCGGGAAGCATCGAACAAACACATGTGGGACCCTTACCCCCCCCCCCAACCCGAAATTCGGGTCTTCGGGTTGGGTTGGGGTGGTCTGGTAGGTAGTCACGAGCAGTGGCGTCTCGGCTGTGTGTGAAGGCCGCCCGCCTCCCTATGACATCCCTTGCGCAACTGTATTGGCTGAGGCATTGGCATTCTGACCATTGTGCACCGCACGCTGCACAGTGCCTCGGAAGAGGAGTCGCCCTCCTTGCCTCCTACCTGCGGACCCCGTACAGGAACGGCCCCTCGGCCGTCTCCCTGTGCTCACACTGGCTTGCCAACAGGCTCACCAGACAATGTTCTGAGAACCGACAGTGGTCTGCACGAAGTCTTCCCGGAACCCTTCTAGCCGAGACTGTCTCGTTCTGGTGCGTCGGCCCCCTGTTCTGAGAGCGTTGTTCATGTGCTTAGAAGATCGCTTGGTTCTACCAACCTTTCGTGGCAGGACTGTAGGAATGATGGGGCGGTCGGTCACGGTTCAATCTCGGTCGGCGACGGGAGCAGAGGTTTCGCGGAGGTACTTCCGCTGCCCTTCACCTCCGCCTTCCACGCCCCGGTGAGGACCCGCCCCCCGCGGCGCTCTCTGGAAGCGGATGGGGACCAGGAGGGGAGGCTTCTCTGACCTTGCAGGAGTGCTGAGACTCGGCCTCGTATACGAAGATGCGGTCCGAGTAGATGGGGCCGGAGGATCGCGCCGCGTCGCCGATGCACCGACGATGCGGTTCGATGTGGAGCTCGACTTTCCCCACGTCGGCGTCGTGGATGCGTCGCCGACGTCGCTGATGCATCGCCGATGCATCGCCGATACATCGGCGATGCATTGACGATGCGGCGTTATTTCGACCCCATTTCGTCGGACCCCATCCAGGAGGCCTCTATAAGAGCGAGGGTGTCACCACGACAGTTCAACCCAACTATTGGACTCGAGATTTCGACCAGCCCCGGTCGAGGTCTGCAGTCTGTGGGGCCTGTGGGATATCCAGCGGCAGGCTGCCCATCTCCCGACCACCGTTTGCCGGGGCCGTGGGGAGGAGGAGGAGGAGGAGGAGGAGGAGGAGGAGGAGGAGGAGGAGGAGGAGGAGGAGGAGGAGGAGGAGGAGGAGGAGGAGGAGGGGGGAGGGAGGCCTCCTTGCAGGGGTCGACGCCGAGACGGTGCTTGTTCGGGCGCTCTCGTGGGCCGCCGTCGTCTCGACCTCTCGTCGTGCCGCCAGGGCGGGATGGGTGACAAGACGAAGACCAAACGAACACAAAACTGATGATGCGAAAGATGAGGGTGAGGAGGATAAACATCACGCAGCAAGGGCGAAGGGAGAACGAGAACAAACGAGCAAACGAGCACACAACGAGAATGAACACGAGAAAAGAACATCGGAAAGACATCGAGAAACACGACGATAGAGAAAGAGCACGAAAGCAACAACGAACAACAACTGATTGTCTCGATCCCTGGCCTCTTGGTGTTGTGCTGTGGGGGATCAGGGATGCCCCGCGGGGGCGTCCTTTGGCGGCCTCTGGTGGGGGGGTTTTCCGGGGCCTCGGGCCTGGGGCCGGCAGCGAGTCTGGGCGGGGCCTCCTCAATCTTCCCCCTACTCGATCCCCCTCCTCCTCCTCCTCCTTCTCCTCGATCCCCCTCCTCGTCCTCCTTCTCGCCCTCCTCCTCCTCCTGCTCCTCCTCCTCCTTCTTCTGCTCCTCCTCCTCCTGCTCCTCCTCCTCCTCCTCCTTCTCCTCCTCGGTTCCCCTCCTCTCAGAGCGTGAATTACCTACCCCGCTTTCGCTTCCAGGCAAAACCAAGCCATACCACGCGCCTCCTCGTCAAGCGGCCTGACCAGTACAGGCTGCAATTTGGCATCGTTTGGTATCTCTTGGAAGCGAGGGTGGTCAAAAGCGAGGTAGGTTTGTTTTCCCCCTATCCTCCTCCTCCTCCTCCTCCTGCCTCTGCTCCTTCTCCTCTTCGATCCCCCTCCTCCTCCTCCTCCTCCTCCTCCTCCTCCTCCTCCTCCTCCTCCTCCTCCTCCTCCTCCTCCTCCTCCCCCTCTCCGACTCCCCACTATCGACCCTCCTCCAACGCGCCAGCGCTTCACGGGTACAGGACGGCCAACGGCCCCCGAGGGGGCGGGCTTCCCCAGAAGGTTCGGAAGGCATCGGGGGGCTTCGAAGAAAATGCCCGAGCCTCCCCCGAGGACACCTGCAACTCTTGAGGATGCCAGGAAGCTTCGAGAATCTAGGCCTCCTGGATGGGGTCCGAGTAGATGGGGTCGGAGGATCGCGCCGCATCGCCAATGCATCGCCGATGCAGCTCGATGTGGAGCCCGATCCTATCCGCACCGACGGCGCTGATGCATCGCCGATGGCGCCGTTACATCGGCGATGCATCGGCGATGGATGTATGGGCGATGCATCGGCGATGCGGGGCCATCGTCCGATCCCATCTGCTCGGACCCCAGCTGGGAGGCCTCTAGAAGCCTGCTGCCTTCTGAGGAGGCTTGCACCTTCTCACTCCCCCCCCTGGCGCGCCGCTGATTGGGAGCCTCCCTGAGGCTTCTTCGTGGCCTCTTTGGGGCCTCTTGGGCGCTTGCGGGGGGCTCTTCGGGTCAGGAGGGGAAAAGGCACACAAAAGGCACACAGACACAATTCATCGACGATTCCCCAGAAGCTATGGGAAAATATGGGAAGCGAGGGGGAAGACGAACTCCCAGACAATACGGGAAAATAGGGGGAATCCTGTTGTTTGTGCCTATCTATTTGTGTGTCCCAGGGCCCCTTCCTAGGGGGATGCTGGGGATTATGTGGGCCAATCGTCCTGGGGATCGGGCTCCTAAGGCCCCTTGGCTTTCGGACTCTTCTCGTGGGCTACTTTTGGGTCGGAGGTGGATAGACCTCATACCCTGACACGTCGATTAAGGAATTTGCCGTTTTCGGTTCGCGAGAGGACGTCGCGGCGTCATTTTTGCGTGTCCAGGTTCTGTCGATTTCGGTCCCAGGCCGTTTTCATTGAGGGGAGGTTTACTGAAGGGACGCTGGTCCACAGCCATCAAAGTGGACTCCAGTTTTAAGTAGGGCCTGTCCCTCTACAGGAAGAACATTCCAAAATAGTCAAACATTATCCCAGTGCGACCCTACCTAGGAGTTGGAGCCCCTAGGAAAACAGCATAAGCTAAGCTAAGCTAAGCTAAGCTAAGCTAAGATAGCTAAGCTAAGCTAAGCTAATATGAGATGGGCTACACTAAGCTAAGCTAAGCTAAGCTAAGCTAGGCTAGGCTAGGCTAGGCTAAGCTAAGCTGAGATAAGCTACGCTAAGCTAAGCTAAGCTAAGCTAAGCTAAGCTAGGATGATACAAGCTAAGCTAAGCTAAGCTAAGCTAGGCTAAGCTAGGCTAGGCTAAGCTAAGCTAAGCTGAACTAATATAAGATGATATAAGCAACGCTAAGTTAAGATAAGCTAAGCTAAGGTAAGCTAAGGTAAGGTAAGCTAAGCTAAGCTGAGCTAAGGGAAGCTATTTTGCTTGGCACCCAGGGGACTGGGGGAACCGCGGGGCGGATGCTGGGGGAACCGCCCGGGGCGGGGTCCACTGCCCGGCCCTTTAAGCACACCGAGTAAGAACCCTTCTAGGCAGAGCCTAGGTAGGGAAATAGTACGGGGACCATTTGTTGACGATGTTTGACTATGGTTGGGCATCTGTTGGTTATTTTTTCGTGCAAAATCCCCCTGCACGGGGGACATGCCCGACCTAACTCTAGTTTCACCATGGGGCCCTCCTGGACCGTCTTGGAGCCCGCTGGGGATTTCTCGAGCAGCTTTGGGGCGATCTTGGGAGCATCTGGAGCCGTCTTGGAGTGCCGGAAGCTCAGAGAGGCGAGAACGCTGAACTCATTCAACATATTGTTTGACAATCAATGCATTTGGCATCTTGATGTCCTTTTGTGGGTCCTCTTTGGCCCCCCTTGTGGCGTCTCGGCGGCCTATTTGGCCGTCTTGGGGCCGTCTTGGGCCGTGCCGGGGCCCTCTTTAGCTGTCCCGGAGCTCTCTTGGACTGTCTTTGGTGTCTCTTGGGCCCTGTTGGGCCGTCTTCAGGCTCTCTGGCATTTGGAGAGGCACACCCTAGGAGTCACGCGGCCCCCCCAGGAACTCTGCGAGTCACGGGCTGGGCCACTTCAATTTCCTGCTCTTTGGCCCATCTGAATAGCATCGGGGCCTTCTTGGGAGTCTCTTGAGCTGTCCTGGAGTGTCGGAAGCTTGGAGAAGCGAGAACATTGGAAGTCCTTTTGTGGGTGCTCTTGGGGCCCCTTTGTTACGTCTAGGCGATTCATTTGGCCGTCTTGAGGCCGTCTTGGGTCGTCGCGGGGCCTTCCCATTTTGGGGGCCTCTGAGGGTCTTGTTAGGCCGTCTTGGGGCTCTCTGGCCCCTGGTCAGGTCAGGCAACGCGGTACACCCGAGGAACTCTGCGATGCGGGGGTCTGGGCCCCTCAGCGAATTCTAGACGCTTCGCGTCACCCCACCAGCCCATCCAGAAACGATGCCCAGAGGAATTGCCTCGATCAGGGAAGTGGGCAGCACACAGAGGAAGGGTCCCCTAGTGGAGGCCTCTTGGAACGTTTTGGGAGCCTCTTGGCGGTCCCGGACGTCTCTTAGAGCGTCTTGGGTGCCTCGGAGAGCTTCTTGGGGCCTCTTGGGGGTCTCTTGGGAGCCTCTTGGAGGCCTCTTTGGCGCCTGTTGGGGCCTCCTGGAGCCTCCTGGGTGCCTCTGGGGGCCCTCTTGAAGCACTCTTGGGAGCTGTGGTAGCCCTCTTGGGCCATCTTGGAGACATCGATCAAACAAGAGGGGAGCATGAATTCGCGTTGCCACTCGGGAGCCGAAAAAGTCGCTTCTGGGGGCGCTTTTGGGGCGCTCTCGTGGAGCGCTCGTAGGCGCTCTTGGGGCCGTCTTGGGGCTCTCTTGAGTCTCTCTAGGAGCCCTCTTGGGCCATCTTGAAGCCATCTTGAGGCTTCGGATGGCCATCGGAAGCGAAAAGGCGAGAAAACCAAAAACATGTATTGTCCGAAGGTTTTGGCAGGATGTTGGCCTATTCGGGGCCTCCTGGTGGAGCTCTTTGACCACTTGGAGCCGTCTTAGAGCGGTCTTGGAGCATCGTGGGAGCCATCTTGAGGCATCTTGGGATATCTTGAGCCATCTTGGAGGTCATCTTGGGCTATCCCAGGCGCCGCTCTTGGACTCATCTTAATCAGTGTCCCCCCCCCTAGGAGGCCAAACTGTGGCCAGAACCTTAGCAACATCAATGATTTTGACATTCTCGCCGAGGCCTCTTGGAGCGTCTTTGGTGCCTCTGGGGGGCCTCTGGGGGCCTCTTGGGGGTCTGTTGGGAGCCTCTTGGGGGCGTCCTGGGGGCCTCTTGGGGCCTTCTGGCCACCTCTTGGGGCCCTCTTTGGGCACCCTCGGGAGCCTTGGGAGCGCTCTTGGGGCTACCTCGGAGGAGGCCGATCAAAGAAAGGGGGGTCCCCAATTAGCCTCGCCCCTTCAGGAGGCCAACATGTAGCCAACACCATAGTACAACATTTGTTTTGGCTTCCT